GTTCGTCATTTCTGGTTCTCTTCTTTTGTTCTGTGAATTTGAGTTATTACCTGGTATCATTTCCTTATCCGAATACATTTTGTATTTTTGTTCTTACCTACCCCTTTGTGATTTTGGCAAATATATTTCTGCAGGCTAGCCCCAATCAATATGTACATATTGTTTTATATAGTTGATTTTTAAATAAATTAAGAGAAAAAGAAGAAGAAATATGCACTTTTACTCTTTTGTGATCAGATAATTATACTGATGGGTGCTCTCTTCTGTGTGTGTGTATGGGGGGTTGAATTATTGTCTAGGTGTGCTTGCTTTCAGCTTCAATAACTTATTTTGGCATTTTCTTGTAATGCAAGTCTGCAAGCAACAAATTCTCTCAGCTTTTGTTTATCTGGGAATGTTTTTATTTCGCTTTCTTTTTAAAAAGATAGCTTTGCTAAATATAGAATTCTTGGTGGGAGTTTTTTCTTTGAGCACTTTGTGCTTTCTGGCCTCACTAAGTTGGCTGGTTTCCAGTCATGTCCCCTTTAATTCTGTCACATGCTGCCAGAGTGGTATTTTTATGACACAGATCATATTGAGTTAGTCTTTTATTTAAAACACTAAAACATGTCCGTATTTTCTAGAGAATAGCCCTAAACCTTCCTAGAAAGTCTTTGCTCCGTGGTGATCTGACTATAGCCTGCTTTCTTCAGGCCACATCTCTTATCTAGTCCATATGATTGTCCAACTGAGCTGCTTGTGGCTTTCCCCACACTCACAAGCTATTTTGTGCTCCACTGCTTTTGCTTCAGCTGCTCTCTCTGCCTGGAAGCCACCCACCCCAGCCACCCGCGCCTGGGAAACGCCTACACAACACTCAAAATGGAGCAGTCATAACTTCCTCTGAGAATTCTCTCCAGATATGTTTGCTAAAGTTGGCATGCAGTCCTCTATCAGGGCACTTTCACCCTTGACTTTCTGTTAACTACTGAGCTCTAGATTTACCCTCAACTGTAAGACCTGAGGAGGCCATTAACAGCACCTGTCACCTGTATCATAGAGTCATAGAGGGCTAATTCTGTGACAAGCTTTTTCACATTTCTTCTCATTCAATCCTACATTTCTGCAAAGTCAGTACTATTTTTACCTCCATTTTGCAGATGAAAGTGAGGCAGAAAGGTGCTCCAGATTGCCAGATCATTGTGAATAGGTTAACACGAAAACTCTCTTACTTCTGCCCAAACTCTTTGTTTTGTTTTGTTTTTGTGGTGCTGGGGATGGAACTCAGGGCCCCATGAGTGTTACGCTGAGGTATATCCCCAGCGCCTGTGCCCTACTTTCAGTCAGCAAATCCTGTGCCTTTTCTCAAGTGTCAAGAGCCCAGTACAGAGCCCAAAAAATGTGGGTTGAATGTCATAATTTAGTAAGGAATTTTGTTTTGTTTTGAATTTAAGACATTAATAAATAAGTTTTTGAACTTTACTTCCTAGTTCTTATTTTTGTTACTTATTTGTTTCTGTATGGGGACTAACTATAAAATCATTAAATAAAAAGATCTCTTTCCAGTTTTGCTGGGCATCCAGGAAGAAGAGAATGTGGATGATGCTCCTTCTTTGCAGCAATGATACCCTGGTCACTCTGTAGAGACAGAGGGACTTGGGGTGGCAGTGTGGTTGAAAAGACTGGGACCTGTGGATTTGCAAATCACTTTACACAAAGTTCAGAAATCACTGACTCCCTCTTTCCAAGAATGGTGAAAGTAATGACATCCCTCAGGTCTCCAGAAATCGTTCTTGGTGGATGAGGGAGAATGTTGAAAGGGATAAGTTAGTCATAGATGGTGGAAGTAATGTAAACAAAGAGAAGTCAACTGAAAGGGCCTGCTAGAGAGGGGAAGGGAAGGGATAAAAGAAAATGGATGCATGGCAATGTAACCCAACTTGGCAAAGTCTAACCAGTATGTCATTTGGTGCTGGATGAAACGGCAGCAACCTTCATCTCTTTTGAGATTGCACTTTGTGGTTCTCTGTGATTCTCCCTTGTAAGTTACTACTACATGAGCTTAAACCAACCTAGCCCTTTAGGTCTCTATGGAGGAAATTCTTCAACCATTTTCTCAGGCACTTCATTCACTGAAACTAGGCCCAAATCCTAGGAGCCTGTGGAGTATTTCCCCAATAATAAGTCTATTTTTCTTGTTATTTTGTTTGTGTCACAGACTGAACTGGCATAAGGACCAAGGAAGAACCTGACTAGTGACTAAGAAAAGGAAGACCTAACCCACTGTCTGAGGATGCTGACACATACATTCTTATTCCATGACTTGAAGTTTGTGGCCTTCTGTATTTTTGTGTGGCCATGTGCTAAGCCTCAATTGTTTCCTTTGCCCTGTCCTCCCAGTTTCCTTCTTATTTCTGCTTAGCGCAGGGATCTACTGACTAAAGCTCCATCAGCCCATCAGTCACCTTGAATCATGAGGCAACCATGAGAGTGGAAACCGTATGTTAAGAATATGGTGGGGAGTGGAGAAAGGGGATGTCAGAAGAAACTTGGGTCTTTGATGAGCTCTAAGTCTTACTGGCTCTAAATCTGCAGCACTTCAGATGGTTTTCATATATGAAAAACAAACCCTTATATGTTTTAGCCACTGTTATTTTGGGGTCTCTGTTACTAGCAGCTGACCACAGATACTAACCAACATGAGGTTTCACATGACAGTAAGATGTCATACTCTGCACAAAATGCAATGTGCAGAGTTTGGGGGAGGGAGGTCACTAAAAGGGCTGTTGCAACCACTGAAGTGTAGGTCAGGGTTGTTTGTCTTCCTCTTCAGTGAGCAGTGGTGTGTGTTTTGGAGTGTGTTAAGTAGATTCCTGTGGCCAAGAGAATTGTCTGTGATTTGCCAAACACTTCTGTCCGGTTGTAGGGGCTTTTGGTATGGAAAAAAGGAAATCCCCTTTGTCCAGCTCTGTGACTGGATTGTTGCTCTGAGGAATTTTGAGGTTAAAGCAATCATTTGTCAAGTGCCACAGCTTTTAAAGCAATTATTTGCCAATTATCATATAAGTTCCTCCTGTTGCTGAAGAGTTACTTTTTGAGCGTGTGCTATGCACCAGACCTGGGGCTGGGTGTCTGCTTGCCTTGCCACTAATCAGCTTGTATCACAGAGTACCTTCTGTGGTTTCCTTTCCTAATCAGCACAATGAGCTCATTAACATTTGAGTTAATGTCCCAGACCAACATTTCAATGAATTCTTAAAGACTTTTCCTTATTAGACACTTACAGAGGCCCAGTTGGAAAGGTCCAATATTATGTCCTCTGGGGGCATCAGACATCATGAAAATCAGAATACCTTTCTCTCCTCTACCTCAGAGTTACAGGGAAATTTTCATCCTCTGCCCTCATCAAGTCTCTCGTCTTGGCTGTTAGGCCTCTGTCCAGCCTGCCTGGAGGTGTGTGCCTTACTGAGGTGAGGGTGCTGGTGGTGGGAGATTAATCCAAAGAGCAGGCAATAAATGGAGGAGAGGCAACATGGGAGAGGATGACCGCCCAATGAGAAGCAGGTGGTGCACACGCTCTTAGAAATTAACAGAATAATCTTCACACTAATGTCCTCACCCTCCTACCACCTACTTGTGCATGCACCTGTCCATCTCATTTCCTGAAAGTCCACCATGGAATTCAGTTATCCGATACCCATCATCCTCTAGGCGATGATAGCCTCCTTGTCTTAAAAGAGAGCCTGTGGAAATTGTGCTCTGCCTAACAAATTTCCCCATCTCAACAGAAGGATTTCAACATATTGTTCAGAGAAGGTCTGATAGAAAAAGAGCTGACTGAGTGACTTAAATGCTGTCTTGGAAGCGACAACTCATGACAGCTTATGATACTGTGAGCAAGACCTCCGAGTCTCCCAGTGGCTGAGAAGTCAGTAGGGCCCACATTTGTTTGGAATTCTTTTGTATAAAATAAAAAATAATTGTCTTCTCATGAAATATATCTGTGCCCCAGTTTTATTACTTTCTCAGCTCCAAATTGGGGAAGATAATGGAAGATAATATCAGACAGGAGAAATAAGATGACAGTTTTTTCTTTCTTTTTTTGTGTTACTAGGATTGGAACTCAGGGCCTCACTATTGCTAGGCAGGTGCCCTATTGCTTGAGCCATGCCTTCAGCCCAGAAAAATTTTATAAAATAAATTTCCTTTACATTACACCATACAAATGGTAATTTAAAAGAGATGATAGAAAGTGAAATGAAACCTCTAGGAGCACAGTTAGGTTCCCTCTTGTTTTCCTCTAGATGCTATCAGAGTCATAAGGTGTTTAGTGCAGTCACTTGCTTAGAATCTGGTTTTGCTTTTTGTTTGAACTTCAGGGAAACAGGCAATGGCACAGAGAGAACTGGGAACAGAGGAAAGTGTGCAGAGGCAGAGGCAGGCTTGGAAGGAGCTTGGCAAAGAGCTATTGTCCTTTCTCAACTTTAGGCGAGATGATGTGTGACTGTGTCTCACCTTGTTTAGGTCTGCAGGACAGACAGGGAAATTATATACAGTTCCCTTTGGATGGGAAGAATCTTCATTTTCTAGGCTGGAAAAAGCACTTAGCAATACAGCTTTTTCCTTTCAGCAGGACTTTCCTTCAAAGAATCTTGTATATGTGGTCACACTCATTTTTGCCCCAAATCACAGAGAATTCTGGAATTCATTTTATGCCTATGTAAGAGTGAGGTCAATTCCTCCTGGGGTATTCCCAGAGGGTAGTTAAATACTTGGGCATGCTACCTTCACTCTTAGGCCATGGGGGTCAAGTTAATGTGTTCATAAAAGATCAGGATGTCCTAGAGAACATCTCACTTCTGATCTGGATGTATCTCGAAGACCATCCAGTGGCCATCTTGAAGACTAGTGGCCAAGACGACTCAAGAGACCAACTGCAAACTTGCCTTGCATTCTTTTTGGCAAAAGATTTTCTCCTTCCCATTGAATATATCTAGACAATAAAAGAAGAAAAGCCATACCTGTAGTATTCATCTCCTACAAAGAACAGGGTCTTCTGCGGTTTCTTGAGGTAGACGGCAGCATCTATTCGCAGAACATGCCTTGGGAACCCAAAATCATAAATTGTTCGAGGAGGACCTTGCATTTGGAATCCTCGTGTTATCCAATAGTGGGGCCCTGAAAACAGAAATCAAAGCTTTCAAAAACTCTGTGCCACCTAGTGATACACTACACTCATGAAGATTTCTATACAGGATTCTAGATGGGGTTAGTTCATGGGGGCATTTGCCAAAGTTATAACCCAATAGGAAATATAAAACTCTAAAGATTCAACTCAGTAACCAACTTCAAACTTCTCTGGTGGCAAAAGTCTCTGGTTATGCCTTAAGAAAGCAATAATATTGATAGTGTTGTGCCTTAAATTTAAACATTTCTTTTTTCAAGATGCCTTTTGTTTATAACCTAATTTCACCTTCATATATCCATGAGACAGCAGGGGCAGGCAACATGAAAATGAAGTGATTGTCACATAAATTGCACCAGATTATCCCTCAGCATCAAGAATATCTGAGCAAAAACTGAGTTATCACATACTGGAGAACTTCCATCGGCCAGCTATTGTTGCAACACACCTGCAAGGGTGATTTTACTCTAATCACTTTGATTTTTACTCTAAAAAAGGAAGGCTCATAGCACTTGGATGACTTCCCCTAATCACTCCAATAGTAAAGGGCTGGAGCCAGAGATTAGTATCATGTGTGTCCACCTCCTGAGGTCACAAGTGTCCCTTCTCTCCCAGCTGCTTCTGAGCATGGTATTGCAACAGGCATTTTGCTCGATGTTCGAGGCTCTCGGCAGACTATTCCATGTCACTCTGAGAAGGGTGAGCAGGAACCAGGTTTCTAGCTCTTTGGCCATGGTCACCTAGCACGGTGCTTTGCTGAACTCAATGGCTGGGTTCTGAGAACAGCTGATAGTCGCTGTCATTCCTGTTATTGTTACAACAGAGTAGGGCGGTGTTCATTCCCAACCTGAGAAAGAGCAACCACTCTGGACTAACACTGTGGGGACTAGGTTTCCAGACAGGTGGGGTATGGTACCCTGCTAGTGCTTTCTTTGAGGGATCTGTAGGGCACCTTTGAAGAAGAAAGCGATGCCTCTCTCGGCCACTTCATAGGCTGCATCCACATTGGACATGAGCTGGGGGAAGGAGCTGGTGATGGTGCTGGGCCGGATCCCTGCCTGCAAGTGAACCTGCCGTCGCCAGAAAATCCTGTGGACAATCAGAAGAAACCAAGGTCCATTTAGCTCTTACACTCATGTGGACTGAAATGGTACTACACTTCAGATGCCACTGCTAAATCTCCTTTTTCCTTGTCGTGTTTTAAAGAGCAGCACCTCTTTCTGACCTTGTACACAGCTTCTTCTCCCTTTTCCTTATCTCAGCATCTCTGTGACTCTCTTTCCTTCATTTATTTGGGGGTGTGCAGAACACTAAGGATATGGTGAGGACATCAATGATTCACACATTAAAGCCGTGCACCCCTCTCTTCCAAATTTCTCTTTCCTATTAATGTTCTTTTAAAATTTAAAACCTCAAAAACAGAAAGAAGGTGAGCATGATAGGTATTATGAAAGTGAACTAAAAGTTTGTGGTTGAGAGATTGTAATTACTCCCTGTAGAAATAGCAAAAACATAAATAATCATAAATTCTAGTGTTCACTACATAATTGTCTATTGAAAGTGTTTACCTCTTTGAACCTGACGCTAACTAACAGAAAATCTATCACACACATATTAATTTAAGGTTTAGCCACATGTCCATCCACTTTTCCAACATTGCTTTCATGAAACTGTACAGAAGACACATCAAAGTACTGGGTTGAACTTTCAATATAGAGTGCCCATTTTGCATGTTGGAGATGAAAACTTTTTTTCCCCTTAAACATGTATAATTTACTTGGATCCTTACAAGCCCAGAATCAGTGGTGAATATTATTTGTTGATAAGGAAACTGTAATAGAGTTTTGTCATTTAGTTTTCCATGTGGTTAGGTTAGGATCCCTGTATCTTAGGCTGAGTTTCCTAGTTGGTCAACAGATACTCCTACAGCATCTCTCACCAGGCACTGTGGTGGTTTCCAGGATGAAACAGTGAACAAGATTGAGGCCCTGTCTTCAAGGTATGTCCAAGCTGGTAGTAGGGACTGATAAATAATTAGGCAATTATAATTCATAGTGATTGGTGCTACACAGTTAAGTCAGGATGTGCTGAGAACACAGGAGGGGGAGCTCAGTACCCTGGGGTTTAGTGAAGGCTTCCCAGGTGGGGCAACTTAAACTGATGATGGGATCTCAAAAAATAGGTATATGGAGAGGGGAGAAACAGTTCTTTCTGGTTCCTGCGTGGCATCACGATGTAGGAGATGCAAGCTAGAGTTCCAATTTGGAATGCCCTGCACCTCAGATCTCAGGTTCATCATCTCTGAAGCCAACATAATGAGCTCTTTAGGAGGGTCAAGGAGATAACACAGATGAAAGTGCATTATAAACTATTGTGGCTAGATACCATCCACTTAAAAACTATTATTTACCTAGGCTTCAGTTACCCACAAAGTAGGTACCAATTATGGACAACAGACAGGATGGTGGGAGTCCGTTTAGGGAACACTGCCTCACCTCAGGTCCAAAATATCACAGCTTTATCCAAAACATAGGTATTATCAGGTGGAACAGTGAGACCCGGGAAGGCTGAGGTGCTAAGTGTCTCCTGGAGGTTAGGGGTAGGTGACCCTGGATTAGACTCCAGCTGTCTTGATTTTTATAATGCATTCTATCTCGTCAACTTGCTCCCAGTCTTATACTCTATGACTTTTCTTTGTTTATAATTTGACCTTTTGTACACTGAGATCTGTCCTTTTCCAAAGACCAGAGGAACTGCTCCCTGTACACTTTTATCTCCATCACCTCAGACTTAGCACAGATTTGGATTCCCGGAAGTGGCCAGCAACTACTTCCTGGGTTAATTGGGAACCTGGTGAGAAATCTGAAGCACAAGTGTTTTCCAATTAGTGCAGTTCACTAATAGTTCTGAACCACCACTGTGTTCAAGTCTCTGTGTGCTTAATGTGAGTCAACTCCCTGAATAGCTATCCTTATCTCAACTAGCAAAAACCCTTGTTCCTTCCTGTTACTGCTTATACTCTCTCTTCAACAAAATTAGAGATAAGGGCAAAATAGTTTCTGCTGGGTATTGAGGGGGGGAGAGGGAGGGGGTGGAGTGGGTGGTAAGGGAGAGGGTGGGGGCAGAGGGGAGAAATGACCCAAGCGTTGTATGCACATATGAATAATAAAACAGTAAAAAAGTCTCTGTGCGAGGTGCAAAAAGGGTGTGTTTCAAGGGATAGTCATGGGACTGAGGAAGTGGGGAAGGTGAGGGTGGTACAGGAAGTGGGGAAGGTGAGGGAGGTACAGGAAGTGGGGAAGGTGAGGGTGGTACAGGAAGTGGGGAAGGTGAGGGAGGTACAGGAAGTGGGGAAGGTGAGGGTGGTACAGGAAGTGGGGAAGGTGAGGGTGGTACAGGAAGTGGGGAAGGTGAGGGTGGTATAGGGCATCAATATTCCTCCAATAAATAGACTCTGAATGAGGTCTTTAATCAGGTGTAGATGACTTCTAGCTGCTTTCTCCTTGGGCAACTTGACTGGGAAAATTTTTCTTTCATTTCTCATTAGAAAACCAAGGGACTTGAGGCAAAAATTAGCCTTATCTTTGATATGAAGTTATTAGACATCGATGTCCTGAATGACTCAATATGAGAGGTCGTAAAAGAGTGGTTAAGAGAGCAGACAAGCCAAAGGGGACTTCTGGAACTTTCTACAAGTGGTAGAATCTAAAATTTCTTACTAAATTAAACCTTGATTTAAGATAATGTAGGTATTGTGAAAACTAAATTGACATAGTCATTCCAGATCGAGTGGGATGTTGTGCCCCTATGGACATTGATAACATCTGGTGACAAGCTTAGTCATCACCACTAAAGCCAGGCAGTGCTGTCAGAGCCAGGATACCAATAAATGTCCCCTAGGCACAGGACAGTCCAGCATAAGACTTATTTGGCTCAAAACATCAGTAGTGCCAAAGTTAAGAAACTCTATTTTAAAGACGGTTATGACAAGTTACAATGCATTATATGAATAACATAAAAATAAATGCTACCTGTCACTTATGTAAATTATCGCAAATTCCAAAAGAAACCTGTAGTCATAAAAAATTTCCACAAACCAATGAAGAAAAGCTATGTCTGATAGATAACAAAACAACAGAAGACATACTCAGAGGATTTCCAACTTTAGAGCAATTTTCAGAAAAAAATGAAGCCAAACTGATCAAAGAAAGTATAGCAAGTAACCTCCTAATTTATCAGTAAATGGATTGAAAATATAAACCCAGAACACTTGCGGGATTTATCGGAACTGTGTAATAAAAAGAAACAGGCTATGTCAATAGTCCATAATCTGATCTTTGATAAGGACAGCAAACAATGGAGCTTACTGACATTATAGATCAGCCGATAGATACTCAGTCATTTATCTTTGTGAACCTAAAGAGCTAACACTATTCCTGGAACACAACTGGGGTTCAATAAATATTTGTTGGTGGACAAAGTAGGTGCCAGAAGTTTGAGCAGAAGGCGTTTGAACAACAACTTTCATGTTCTCTGAAGCACTAGTTTCCTTTCACTACAGAACAGTAACTGATTCATCAATTTGAGATTAGGTTTGGATAACTTTTGTGTTGGCCTCTTGCAGCTCTCTGGTCCTTGAACTCCTTGGCAGAATGGCTTGTTAGTCATCTTTTTATTCTGAAGCTTAGCAGACAGCTGGATGCATCTTTGATCCCTGTTGTAGAAACTTTGTTTTTTTTGGATTGAACCCAGGGCCTCTACCACTGAGCTATGCCCCAGCCTGAACCTTTGTTCTTTTGTGTTTTGCCCAACTATTTTGATCCCTAACTTCTCTGAGCTGGTCCTGTTATTGATCTGTCATTTGCTTTTTTTGGGCCATGGAGGAAATTCAGCTCCAATGTGGTCCAATGAAAGAAACAAGGGGTGCTTGGAACCTTTTTTAATACATGATATGTGATGCATGTAGATTTTCTGAGACCCAGTTTTCTTTGTCAAGTAAGAGTGAGAATAATATCTTACATGATTATTTCACAGGATCAATTCAGATAACACACATGAAAGTGTTTTATAAGCTCTGTTCTATTCATAATCATTTGTAGGTATTTTTAAAAGACATTTTTTCTCTCTACAAATCTATTAATTGGTGATATGTAAAACTTAAAAAATAGAGCAAGTCAGTTCAGGTGAGTTTCTGGCTAAGCTTGTTTCACTGGGAACTTGGAAGAACATATCATCATATCACTGGCTGAGATGCTTCCTTTTGTGGGCTCACTAATCAGGCCTGCTTACTTCAGAAATCAACCATGCATTGTCCACTTCACTGAACCCAGGAAAAGTTACATCTTATAAAACTAAAAGTCCAGAGTTGGGCATGGTGGGACATCCCTGTAATCCCAGCACTTGGGAGGCTGAGGCAAGTGGATTGAGAATTCTAGGTCAGCCTGGGTTATATAGTGAGCCCTTGACTCAAAAACCAAACCAAAACAAACCAAAGCAAAACCAACCAACCAAACAAAAATAAACAAAGGACTCAGTTAAAATAGCCAAAGCTGTACATGGTGTCCTTAAAATAAGAGTGTTTACACCATCTCAGGAGCCCAAGGGGACCTCTGTCCTTCAGCCATAACCCGTGAAGATGTAAAGGGCGCACCCTCACTCAGAAGGAAAGAGTTCAGAAAAAATGACAGTCAGAGATCATAGTTCATCTCTGCCTTAGAATTCAGGGTCATGCTTGCTAGGCAGGTGTTCTACCACTTGAGCCATACCTCCAGCCCTTTTGTTTTTTTGTTTGTTTTTCAGAGAAGGTCTCCCACTTTTGCCCAGGCTTGCCTCATACTGTGATTCTTCTACTTCTGCCTCCCACGTAGTTGAGACCACAGATGTGTGGCACTACACTGGTCTGTTCTTTGGGATAGGGTCTCAGTAACTTTTGATGGGACCAGACTTGAACTGTGATCCTCCTTTCTCCTCCCACATAGCTGGGATTACAGCATGCACACCATGCCTGGTATTTTTTCTGAATTCTTAATATATCATACAGAACTGGTTTAAGTAAATACAAAACCATTCATTGACACTCAGTGAAGCAG